GTTGTTATAAACCTGGATGACTGAGAAAACAAACTTTGTGTTTTAGATAGTAGTGTTCAATTTTTTCAGTCAGAATGAATGAAAATGGTCATGTCAGCCAAAAATTGGTTTATAAATATGGGGAAAAAATCCATAAATACATCGCTTTGGCCTATAAGTCACAGGGCATGTAAAATATGCAAAAAAATGCAACTTATAGGGCGAAAATACGGTACAAGCACAAAGAGAAAAACCTAATCCTTTTTGTGGACTGAAGTGGAACCTCTCCCTTGTGTCACATTAAAATACTAACGTGATATTTCTAATCTGTGAGAATAAAGGACAACTTCAGGTAGAATATCTAAGCAAGAGATGGAGGGAAGAATTTAATAAAAATGCTCAAAGAGGGTAAATTTGTTTTACCAACAAGTGTCAGCCTTTTAAAACTGTTCTCATTTCTTTTATTTTCTAAAAGTAAACTTGATGCATAAGGCTGATCTTGTTGGCAGTTCAGTAAAGTGAAAAACCTAATTTGTGCTTAGATTATTTGGTGTAATAAAAATAATGGGGCTTTTTGCTTTGCTCTGAGGTAATTAAATTATTCAACAGTCTTGTCTGCTAGGTGATGTTTTGTAGGTTATAGTAGTTCTGCTATAAAAAAAAAAAGCAGCATGTAACGTTTGCAACACAAACACAAACATGTAATCTGTCATTATTGGGATGGTAGGTTAGGTGGGTCTATGACATCATCACTTTCAAATTCTTGTGTTTAGTCTATCCAAACAAGAATGGAAGGGTGGTGTTTAAGGCTTTTCTTGGTCTGGAACCTAGTTTCAATAAAGAGTTTCCTATAATGTTGTTTCCATGTGGACGCAAGGCTGAAACGTTTGCATATTCACCAAACGCTGTTCCCGTGTGGATGGGGTTCTGGGTGTTACATAAGAACCGCACACAAGGGGGGGAAAAGCTTGTTTTCTTGAGATAACAAGAAAAAACTAACTTATCTCAAATTAACTTGTGATCTTGAGAAATTTAATTCAAAATGATTAATACCAAGAACAGTAGTTCTCTGCTTTATATTTAAGAAAAGCACTAATAAAATAATTATAGGTAGTTTGAGCCATAAATAAGTTCAGTAGTATGTGGCGTGATGGCTAAGAATAAAATGAACCGATATGAAAGGGTTTTTTCCCCCACTAAACTGGTTCCATTGCTAATTCAGCACATTGGAGATAACGTCTTATTTGTGATCATCTACAGAAACTCAAAATACAACAAATAATCAAATACTTACCAAAAAGTATTGTAAATGTAAAATAAAAAATCAGTTCCAAATTCACTTTCTGGCTGTGGAAAACCAATGTAACGGTAAATTTCATTGTGACGTGAAAAAATAATCAGTTTTAGTCACCCATTCTGTCATTTTAACCCTTTTACATGCAAAAACAGTTTACGTCCTCCCCGTTTCTCATCATCAGAGGAATCTGACTGGTTATCTCTTGGGAATGTTTAAATGGAAGCCCAGAATAGATCAATGCTTCCTGAGTGGACTGTGTTGACATTAAAACACAGTGATGTCACCTGTTTCCTGGCGATTGTTGTCTTTTCGGGGCACAGCCAGTCACAGTGAGGACCAAAATCCCAGACACTGATTTACAGTCTAAAATCCCATGGAGTCACAGGATGACACCCTCATTGTTAATAAAAACTCATCACAAAACCACCATATAAGGCTTTTTTAATTCAGTATTTTCAACTGCTACAATTAGAGAGAAATTATTTTAAAAAAGCAGTAAAGTTAGTTTTTGTTTGTGGATTCTTATGGCCCTTTCTCACTGGAGGCTACAAACTAATGCCAAGAAAACATTAATTCATTCATTCATCTTCAACAGCTTATCCAAGGTCAGGTCAAGGAGACAACAGGTCCAAGAGGGAAAGCCAAACACCCCCCTCTCCAGGGACACTGCCTGCTCCTCAGGTCAGGGAGGATAGTAGAATCCCTCCAGCCAGTTTTGGGATCTCTTCCCAGCAAAACACCACCATAACATTTCCAGAGGGAGACGGCCATGAGGTGTCCCAATCAGATGTCTGAACCACCTCAGATGACTCCATTCAATGAGGAGCAGCTCTACACCATTTCACAGACTGAGCTTAGCCACCCTATGAGGAAACTCATTTAAGACACTTTTATCCATAATTTTGTTCTTTCAGTCATAATCCACATGAACCAAACTCATATTTGAAATTAGTGGTGTTTCGATGCGAGCTTTAAGTACACGTACTTGTATTCATTAAATGCCCCAATACTTTGGGCCAATGCCATTTTTATGCTTGGTGATGTCATTTCCTCTTCCACTGTGCAAGTAACAGAGTACAAAAAAGTCCATAGTTTAGAGACATTTTAAGATAAACACAGGTTGTGTTAAGACAACAATACTGATTGATGTGATCTTTATTTATTTATTTTTTTTTTTGGTGGGGGCGAGTGGTGGCGCAGAGGTTAGAGAGGTGGGCCTTAATAATTTTAATAAAAGAAATGTGTTTCTGAAGTCATTGTGTAATTCATTCAATCTTTATTTATACAGGTTAGTTCCACTGAACCTCAGGGAGGTAATGTTTAAGTACTAACTCGTTAACTACTCAGTATCAATATTCAGTATCGACAAGTAGCCAAACTGAATGTACTCGGGCTGAAATATATATATATATATATATATATATATATATATATATATATATATACCTGTATATATATAGTATTGGGACACCCCTATTTGAAACATGGACAGAAATCCAAGTGTTTCTCCCTCTAGTTCAGCTCCTTCACCACAACAGACCATACTAATGACCTGACCGCTACAGATGAAGCCCCAATTCACTGGTCAACTGTTTAGTGTCTTGCTCACACAGGATAAGAAAAGTAAATCTATCTACAGTATATTTAATTTATTTGAGCAGCAATCCATCCATCCATCCATCCATCAACTTTTACCTACTTCTTTCTTTTTGGGTTGTGGGGGTCAATGGTGCCCATATCCAGCAGTCACTGTGCAAGAAGCGGGGGACACCATGGACAGGTCTCCAGTCCATCACAGGGGTACATAAACGAGACAAACAACCATTCACTCTCTCCCTCACACCTAAGAACAATTTAGAGTTACCAATCAGTCTAACATGCATGTTTTTGGTCAGTGGGATGAAACTGCAGTACCTGGAGAAAACCCACGCATGCACGGAGAGAACATGCAAACTCCACCCAGAAAGGTCCAAGGTCGGGATTTGAACCGGTGACTTTCTCGCTGAGAGGCAGCAGCTCTACCTACCATGCCACCTTGAGCATCAATCCACTAATCAGGAAAAACAAGAAACTTGCAGAATAATCTTAGATTCTTAATTTCCTTTATTAGTTTGGATAAACAAAAAAAAATTTAAAAAAACAGAATTATTTGAAAGTACAAATATAAGAAATAAATAATTGAATCAGTTGTGTTTGTGAACCATATACTTTCCAAGAAAACTGACCAAATCAAATAAAACTAGAACTCCTTGCATGCCAAAAGTTTTAAGCAAAGATATTTTGATTCATGCTCAATAATCCAGGTAGATAAATCCATATCGCATCTATTATGCGTCACCGCTGACAACCTGGAAATGTGGGCTGGTGTGCCAAATATCGATTGGCTGCCAAATGGCGGCTGCGGGAGCGTGCACAGTAGGACTTTAACAACAACTTAACAAGATTAACACTTAAAAACAATTATTTGTTTGCTCGAAAATATAGTAAAGGTGTCTCAGTCTAACTTTTCCTTAATAAATGCAATTTGATGGTCAAATCAGCATTTTGAATTATGCAAAAAAACGCGACTTATACAGCAAAAAATACGGTGGTCTCCCACTAGGGAGAGGGCGAACGTCAGAAACCACCTGAGCACCATCAAACTGGTTGACCCACTATGTGAAGGTGCAATTTATAAGACAGAGTTTGTTGTGGATCCTCGGACTGATGAAGTCCTTTGGGTGAAAGACAAAACGTTTCAACACAAAGAAACCATCCAGAGGACCTGACTTAACTTTGTTAGATTTTAAGCAAATAATTTGTCCGATGTCTTTGAGCTCAAAGTATGGGTGGGAATGACTCTCCATGTTAATATATCATAAGCTCAATATCTGTAAAATCAACTGAATTCTAGTTATTTTTGTGTTTGCTAGTTATTCAGCTGTGGTGTCCACTTTGAGTCATGGTAATAATAAGCCTTTTCAGACACAATAAAACCTTAATGGGACTAGTTCACAGAATGGGAGCAGATTTCTTAACCGTCACACTGATAACCTACTTTGGTTAAACTAAATAGGACTATAAAATCTTTGCCTAACTTTCAGACTTCATACACAGTGACAAACATTTGATGGTTTGCTGCTTGTCAAACGCCTCAGGGTTGAGACACACCACTTTACCAAAGACATTTTGGCCAGAGGAGTGTTTATTTATTTTATTTTATTTCCCTCTGGGATTAATAAAGTATTTTTGAATTGAATTGAATTGAATTAGCATTGGGCAGCACGGTGGCACAACTGGTAGAGCTGCTGCCTCTCAGCGAACAGGTCCCTGGTTCAAACCCCGGTCCAGGGGCCTTCTGGGTGGAGTTTGCATGTTCTCTCCGTGCATGCGAGGGTTTTCTCCGGGTGCTCCGGTTTCCTCCCACAGACCAAAAACATGCATGTTAGGCTGATTGGTAACTCTAAATTGTCCCTAGGTGTGAGTGAGAGAGTGAATGATTGTTTGTTTCGTTTGTCTCTATGTGGCCCTGTGATGGACTTGCGACCTGTCCAGGGTGTCCCCCGCCCCTCGCACAGTGATTGCTGGACATGGGCACCAGCGACCCCCGTGACCCAAAATGGAATAAACGGGTTAAGAAAATGGATGGATGGATGGATGAATTAGCATTCGTTACCTGCAAGTGCTGGACAGTAATAAAGCAAAATGAGACGTACAGAGACGGTCCAGTTACTTGTTGTCTCACCTGCTGTCAGCTGAGTGCCAGGGTAATGCGTAGGAGCCGGAGTGGAGATGCATGGCAGACGGAGGGGGAGGTGGAGGAGGGGGGAGTGGAGGGGAGTCTGCAGGGGGCAGAGGTGGGGGCGACGGAGGAGGTGGAGGAGGGGGTAGGAGCGACTCCGACAGCTTCGCCAAGTGCCAGGAGTGAGATCTGATGAGAGGAATGCTGCGCCTGTGTACGGATGAGAGGGAAAGACTCCGGTGAGACCTCGTCACAACAAACGTTTTTCATTTCTTGACCTGCTCTTGGTGTCAACAGGAACCTCTGACCATCGGTGTTGAGCGTACTCTTTTGTCTAAACATGAGCTCTTCCAGCTAAGATCACAAACACGACATACTTTCTCAGAACCACAGCTGCGTTGGAGCATCAGAGCTCCAGTGAAGCACAAACCTACAGCGGCAGGTTCTCAGAGTTCGTGGTAACTGCTTCCTCACAAGTTGTTTGGGACGTTTACTGCGCTCCTCTTAAAAAATAATCTTACACATGTTCTCTGCGTTCTCCGGTTTGATCTAAAGCCAGGCATTCCAGTGCGTCCCGAGATATTCACTAATTCCCTTTGACAGACTTCCGATCTCACATGCAGGCCAGATTCAACCGAACCTCCCGTAGATAAAGTGTTCGTGTCAGATGGAAAAAAAAAAAAGAGAAGCAAGAAAAGGTGACCAGACAGTTGTAAATGTATCATTCTCAGAGTCTGAAATAACCTCGTGTTTTTTTTAATAACACACCGTTTGGATTCCTGGTGCTGGGTGGAAGTGCAGGGTATGGAAATCTGCTGACTTGTGGCTTAAGACTGGATCAGGTTTAAGTTAGAAATGTGAGGTTTGCTCTAAACTTGGCTCATGTGAGCCACTGACTTTACAAAACACTTGGAAGTGAAAACATTCACATTTTAAATCTGTAACTGAGAAAATCCTGGAAAACCATTTAAAAACAACAACATTATTCTACTAAATACTTCCTGAGCCAAAAAGAATATCCGACATTGAGATCGTGCACTGAAATAAAACAAAGAAAACCTTCATTGCAGCTAAATTACAATAGTCTTATTTAAATTTAGACTTGTCTAGGGTTGAGCATCTACAAAGCATATGTAGACCGACTAACGACTTGATGTTGACAAGTTTTCTTTTAAGATTTGTCTTGCTCATCGGATCTGATGTGAAACTTGTCTTGGACTTTTCTTTTCTGAGACCAAGGTCAAATCTTGGTTGACTGGAGATTGGATATGACAAAAGTAAGACAACTCAAAGTTGACTTCTCTTACAAGAGTAAGAGTACAGACATGTGAGCTTGTCTCGTTTTGGTTTATACTTTAACTTCCATAGACTGTCTTGAGACTTGGACATGTCTCACATGGCACTTATGACAAATCAAACTCAATATGTCTTGGTTTACTACAAGCATGATATTCATGTGCTGTGAAGGCTATCAGGTGTGTTTTGGATATGATTTAGTGAAAATTCTGAGGACTTGAATCGACCGTATCTTGGACTGGGCAGGGTTTGTATACTGATCATGATTTGAATTTATCATCGCAGAAACAACTTGACTGACGTAGAAATAGAAGTAATAATCGGTTGACAAATTTTATTCGACCAATATTGGCACTTTTAAAAAAACAAGAGTAAGGCATACAGTACAATTTATGCCCATTGACAAACTCATATACAGCACCCTATAGCAATGGCCAGAACAAGCAAAGCCTTTGCATAACCTCCGATCTTGATTTGTGACCTTGACCTTAGAGCCGGTATGATAAAAAGTTGACATAGTATGAAGTTTAATTATTTTGAGCATTTCAGAAGTTATGAGCGAGACAAAAGAAAGTTTAGACACGTACAGAGACTTTACCATAATCTGTCCCCTTTTTGATGGGAATAAGCCCAGTGCACAAGTTCTTCTAAAGTTTGAAGAATGTCTGTTCATTTAGAGATTTTTAATACATTTTGTTTAACCACAAATACATTTTGATGCAAAAGAGAAAAATCTGTTGCACTTCAGCCATTGTCCATCTTGATTTCTACAGATTGGCATCGGCCATAAAAAAAACTTGACATTGGCTCTGGATTGTCTTTGTGTTTGGTCTTTGCATTGGACACACTTCTCGTGACAAATTTTAATTTTGATTTGAATACAAAATTCCCAGTTTATGGTAAAAAACAAACAAACAAACAAAAAAAAACACTTTTCCCAAAAAAATCACCCTCAGTTGAGTCTGCAAGAATCTAAATTTCGAAAGTCTTTCCTTCAGAAGGACAAAAACTTCCAAATATGCATTCCAAGGGCGCCATTGACATTATAGATGTGCCCTTTATTGTTTTTCAAAGTGTTTGGCATATAAATAGCAAGAAACACTTGGGTCAAGTTGAAGCCAATGATAAACCGTATTCGCTCTGAAGAGATTTCTATTTAAATGTATTTTATTGCTGTTACAGTCAGTGTGCACTTGTCCACAAAGTAAATAACTTAAAACGGACTCAATGAGATTTAATATAGCAAATCATTTTTAAAGCAGAGTTGTCTTTACCAGCTAATCTACATGAGGTCACTGATGATGTTATATGAGTCAAAAATGACAATCTGTCAAAAACAAATGAAAAACAGATCGGACAGTAACAAAACATCTAAAGTCATTGACTTGACTTACACTCAGCATTACTGCTCCAATTTTTCTCATCTGACTCATAACTCAGACTTGCCTCAAAAGACTTTTATAAGTGGTTTGAAATTGAGCAAACAGCCTAAAGTTGAATTCCCAACAACAGCACCAAGTTTGAAAGTACAAAAATGTAAAATGATGCTTTGCTTGGTGACATTTCAGAAAACTGCTTGGTACAGTGGGTCCAAAAACACAGAGGTACCATTTTGGAAGAGGAATGTGGTTCCTGGCACCACGAGTGAGAGGAAAAGACCATTTTTGAGTATTCTTGTTTATGATAAAGCAGGAGCAGGAGACCCATTTCCAAAATAAACACCCCCAGCTTCCTGGTTCTGGCTACTAAAGAAGGATATCAATCTGAGCCCACTGATTGTTCAGCTTCACTGACAATGTCCTTGAAATATCCCCTGAGAAAGTTTAGCTCAACCATGTGTGTGTGTGTGTGTTTATTATTTTGTGAGTGCATTTGAATGTGTGGGAACTATCTAAGCTCAACCAGACAAAATATCTATTGATTATTGATTATACCATAAACATTCAGCAGACCCCACTTCCTCTCTACTTCAACACCACCTTCTGCTTCTTCAATAAATATCCAGAGTTGCCATTTTTAAGTCTATCATAACAAGCAAGTACAGTACTCTGATGTCTCCCATTGCTGAGGGACTGGAATAGTGAATGTTTGCAGTTTTTGAGTAGAGCACAGTACAGCTACCTCTCAGTACAGCTACCTCTCAGTACAACGACGTCTCAGTACAGCGACCTCTCAGTACAGCGACCTCTCAGTACAGCGACCTCTCAGTACAGCGACCTCTCAGTACAGCGACCTCT